ATTATTATTATTATTTCGTTCTGTTTGGCAAACGGGCAAACGAAAATTAAGCTAGATTTTTCGTATTTTTTGTTCGTGGGTTAAAAAATTAGCTTGCTATTTGTGCGTGGGTGGCCCTAAAAACGCCACTTTTTTTTCTCAGCCTGTCTTTATTGCCTATATCCCATCACACAGAATAAGAGTTCATCTCATGTTCCGCTCTGCAAATTAGTCACAATAACGTTTCTTCAAACTGGCTGGGCTGCGTTTCCCAAAAGCTTCATAAGCCTAAGAAGTTCGTAAAAACGATCGTACGACTGATCTTAATATTACGGTCTGTTTCCCAACTATATTTCTTGCTAATATACATCTCATATGAAACACAACACTGCTCTTCTTGGTTCGGCGGCGCTGGCGCGATCCCTTAGGCTACAGGATAACAGAGGAAAGAAATGTCTGCTTTATTTTCTATACTTCCACAGAAATGACTGAACAAAAAAATGAACAAAAGAAGTAATTTAAATATGCTTCAAAGACTGGGGGGGAAATCTGTCAATGACTTACTGACGTGCACGAAAACCAATGTATTGGACCCGGAAATAACGTGTGATTATTTTACGACTCTGGAGTTGGTTTTTATATTTATATATATTCAAAAGTGATGGCTGTAATTACAGTAGGAGATACTACACAAAACATGTAAGCATCTACTCAAGGTAGTCCTGTGTCTGTGATGAACTTATATTATACAAATGATTATAAAAGTTAAGTAGCTGTTGTTTGGGATTGTTTAGTATAAATGTGTAATTTTACACTAAAATGTATCTGGATGTGATAAAAAAAAAAAAGCAAAAAAAAAAAAAGCACAATAATGCCCACTACAGGACAGACTGAGCAACTGCTGTGTTTACAGATCATTCTGATTCAACCAGAAACAACTGGCCTTTATTATATATGAAGTTATAAAATACAACATGTGAACACAATAGATTTCCTCCAGTATCTTCGGTCACGTCCGTACGTCTGCGCTGGATAACACGGACTTCCTGCGGGAGGAACGAAACACATGCTCAATTACTCTCAAATCAAAAGATGACCGCAGCTGGAGAGAAACATAACAAGAAACACACAGATGCCATGGAAGATTCTGGCCACGGCTCGACCAGAGAACTTCTAATCACTGCGACTGGACAGGAAACCTCTGATGTCCGCACAGATCTGAGCCTCCCAGTCCCTCATCTGAGAACAAAATACAACAACGGGATTCAGAGATAGAAATGAGAGTTCACATCATAAACGAAACCGTGAAAGAGTCACACCTTGCATTTGTTGAGCTCCTCCTCGTCCTCCTGATAGTGTTTGCTCAGGTCCAGGTTTCTCCTCTTGTCGAAATAATCACGCAGCAGCTCTTTGAGAGCCTGGCTCCTGCTTTCCTCCAGATCATCCATACACAGACTGCAGTTACAGTACGCAACGCTGCACACAAACACAACACATACACTAAGAGATGTGATTTCCTGAAGGAGCATAAATGATTAGATGAGCTCAGTCATGGTGAGTGTGTGGGTCTGACCTGCGGGAGGTTTTGAGCTGGTACAGCTGTGTCCCAGTGGTGTAGTCCTAAAGAAAAAAGTGGTTTACTATTACCCAGTAATATTACCCTATTACCCCCACCCCCCCAAATAAAGTTTCATTTATATAGTCATTTATTAATATTAATGCAGTGCACTCTAAGACAGATAGCAGTCTACTGCATGACTTCCATGTTGTCTCAGGTCTGTTGACCACATTACAGTTCTATATATAATTTCAAGTTGCTTTGGAATTGTATTCATTATGACATTTTTTTACAGATAAATCTGAATTTAATGTTTTATTTTATGCAACTGGGTAGAAAAAAATAACTTGATATGAATTCATGAAATAAATATTTCCAGATAATATTTTCTTAAATTTGCTAATACGCAAACATCCCGGGGGAAAAAGTAAGCATACGGCGTATATTTGCGTATGGCCCCGACTACACCACTGCTGTGTCCTCTCCTGTAAATTGATTAGTCGTTTTTAAGTCCGTTTGGTGTGTAACATGCATCAGATGTTCAGCGAATCACATGGTCTCCTCTCACCTGTGTCTGAGCCCCACTGCAGCTGTCTCAGGCATAGACGTAATAAATACCTAGACGCCTCATTGGCCGCTCGACCGCGAATAAATTGTATGTACAGGTGTGCTATAAATGGAGTAGGAATAGAATAAAATAAAATAAGTTGTAGGGATGTACTAGGGTTTAGGGTGATAAGTAAGTATAAGGTTATTGCACATACTGTACTATAATTGCACAATGGGAGAACATTAACTGTTCATGAGGTAGATTGCCTGGGGAAAGAAACTGTTCTTGTGCCTGGCAAATCAACAAGTGAGACAAGTGTGAGTTTTCACAATAACTGGAGGCAGAGTTATTTTTAACTCCATGTAGATCAAAAATCTCTGAAATCGGTTGATAAATGTAAACGTTATCGTGTTTTTATCCAGAAAAAACCGCAGCTCCTCCGTTTACCTCCATTTATTTTTAAGCGTTCTTGCCCTCACAAACATGGCGGACGCGTTGACGTATCGCAGCAATGGCTCAAAGCGGCCAATGAGGCGTCTAGGTATTTATTATGTCTATAGTCTCAGGCCTCTCTTCAATAGAGGAAGCTGCCAGTCCGTAGTGTCCGCCAGCTCCACCACATCAAACTCCAGAGTATCACATGACTCCACACGCTCCCCTGCCATGCGTTTGTATGGGAAGCCAAACAACCCAAAAGTGGGACGAGACAGCGTGGTATTAAAGTGTTCGCGCGCGGCTCAATGGACCGAGTTGCGCGACCGACTCGACAGCGCAGAGAGGACGTGTTTACTAGCGCCACCGAACTGACTGAGCGGCGCTGATCAGTTACAGCAGCGCAGCGCGAACATTACTCTCCGCAGAAGTTCGTGTTTTTTTCCTGCACATAACATAATGAAGAGTTATTACATTTATTTTGCTTATTATCTTTCATATTACTACATGTAAACAGTAGTGTTAGCTACTTTGAAGCATGTATAGCCTATATTTAGTGGTCACGTTCACAGCAGAAACTTCCATTTATCCGCTTAGAATTAAAATATTTTATGGTTTCGTTCATCAAGGCATATATTAAGTAAATTTTACATTTAAGGATATTTGTGTAACTGTAGCATATGATTATACTTGGAAAAAAAGAGTAAAATGTACGGATACTTTTCTGTCAGGACATACATTTTCCCTTATGGAAATACGGAAATTAACAATGGTTTTACTATAGTAAAAGTGCAGTAACCATGGATTGATTGTCATTTTTTTAACCCACAGTTTAACTACAAATATATGGTTAAAAGGTTAGTGTAATAAAATCATGGTTAATTTTAATGTGTTTTCCGATAAACCTAAAACACAATGCAGTGCAAAATTCAAAATACATCATATTGAATTTACATACACTGTACCTAATTTTTAAAGAGTTTTTAAAAATTAATTAAAATTAATTAATTTAATTTGGAGTGTAGAGAAAAGCCTTACAAACCGTATCCATTATATAAAATTGCAATGTTAAAGTTAAATAACAACGTTCTCTTTACTAGAGACAACAAAAATCCCATATATATACTAGTTCAAATTTAAAATGGGCAATATTGTGCTGAATGTAGAACTGGACGACAACAATAATAACTAAGTACAAAATAAAAAAAATATATATACTAGAAGCTGGGTGTGCTCCTCAAGAGGACTATGGTATTGTAAATTTATTAAAGTCTTATATATTTTATATTTGCAGTTTTTCAAAGTACAACTGTTTACATGTAGTAGAAAGGTAAGCAAAAGAAATGTAATAACTTAATACTGATCTTCATTATGTTATGTGCAGGAAAAAAACACGAACTTCTGCGGAGAGTAATGTTGTAATGACAGGTCAGCGTGGTGTGAACACTTTAATACCACGCTGTTTCGTCCCACTTTTGGGTTGTTTGGCTTCCCATAGGACTTGTCGCTAGATTTAGCGACTTTTCAGACCCCCCAAATCTAGCGACTTCTTGGACAAACCTTAGCGACAAACCTTAGCGATGTCATTAATATGCTAATTAATGTATGACGTCATCTGGCGACATTTAGCGACTTTTCAAACTGGCTTTAGCTACTTTCTATTGAAAGAAGTTGGCAACACTGCTAACAACATACAAAATGACACAATCAGCACTGATGAGCTTCTAAAAGCATCGAAAGCTACTCAGATTGTGAACGTGTAATTTGGTGATTTTGAGGAGTTGTTGCGGACCGCCGTAAAACACTGCAGTTTACAGATGATGGAGAGCGTCAGATGAAGAAGCTCCACCCACTGTTGAGGATGAAGCTCCAGGTAACACAGAGTCTCCAGACCTAAAACACACAGAGATGCAAATAATGAGCCATCATTTTGTGTCAAATATAGAATTTAATTCAAGAAGATGCCACAGTTCACCCCAGGGTTATAATTGATTACTAAAACTAAAAGTATTACATTTTAAACTTACTTTGTTTCAGTTGCCAAGGCAAAATTTCTAATTTTCATTTAATTTAAGCTGAAATACTATAATTCTTCAAATCTGAGGGGTACTTCAAGTAAATATATTAGGTGAAAGAGGTTCAGATGACAAAAAAGCTTGGGAATCCCTGTATTACACATAAATAAGAAATAAAGTGAATTTGTGCACTTTAATGTGTTTATAAGACAAAAGCCTTCCAAAGACATGGTTAAATAACTCACTGAGTGATAATTCAAATATAAATGAATGTGTTCATCAGTAGTTGATGCAATGTTGAAATGCTGTGAAAACAATTCTTAAAATTAAAATGATTATTGTAGCATTTGGACCAATCAGACACACATTTGTTCATTAGATTTAACAAATCAATTATTCATTAGATTAACAAGCAATCACAGACCCCTCACCCAATAAACATACTGGGTGCCAGCATGTCTGGGAACGACCCCAAGCCCCTGGTTACCATGGCAACCAGGACCCCTCAGCCAGATCAGATATACTTTTACGACCTAAAAGTATGTAGGGAGAATCAACTCTTACTCAAGTCTCTCTAAAACACATAATGCCCATAAAAATGGACTCTTCTCTAATTAATTAATAGGAAAACCTTTCTTTGAATGAATATAAGAGCTGGGTAGTAACTGTAACAATACAGTGGTACTAAAAAACATGAATTATAAATTATTAGTTTCTTCAGAATGAATTAAATAAACAGTTATTAAATGCCGCTTTTTCCTTCGAAACAGGCCATGTGGTAGCTTTTTCCCATGGACATCACTCGAACAATCTCATTTGAACCCTGTAGACATAAACAAACCCAAATCACTACATGATCATTTGTCCAATAGATGTATATCAAATATTACATGTGATATCAAAAATTACACATGCTATCTGCAAACTAATAATAATAATAATAAAAACTGTAGAACCTTATTGGGCAGGATGAGCTGTTCACATATAGCACAGGTCTGTGCCAGAAACCTATCCAAGAAAAAATATACCATAGAAAATACAATCAGACATAACTATTAAATGCATTGAATGAATGAGATAATGGAAGAATGTTCACGTGTTATAACTTGGGTTACTTTTAATCTAATCTACCATTAATCCATAACTAGATTATATATTCACTGAGTGTACATTGTCTGTGCAGTCTGTAAGTGTCCATGTCAGCGTGCTGTTCACCTGTGGTAATCTTTCACACAATATATCTTGTTTTGTGTGTCTACACTGAATGGCTGTCCCTCCAGTGTCTCATTACAGATGACACAGCGGAAACAGTCGGGATGGAAGGACTTTCCCAAAGCCTGGAGCACCTAAAGGGGTCAGAGGTCATCTTAGTGATTAACTAATGGATCGTGTGGTAGGAAATGTAAAGATACAAGAAATTCAGATACTTCTGAGACAGACAATACACACACAGTGCATTAACATACAGACATCTGCATCTCACTGAGAGAAAATGCGGGAAAACGTCTCTCACATATGCATCAGTTCCGATACTTTGATCTCCTGAGAAACAGACAATACACTGGCATCTTCAAGACACCCCACAGAGTGGCGGTGCAGGAAACGCCTCTCTCACATATGCATCAGTTCCTTTTCATCTCCTCCCTCCGTCTAATTCACTCAGAATGGTCAAGAATATAATGTTCTATATGAATGCAAATAAGATTTACAGTCATGTTTGGTTTCATTTGAATAGTTTCAGGGCAAGTGGTACAATGGTCTTAATCTTACAAAAGTAGACTAAAAGATAAAACAGATCCTAAGAGTTAAGAGATACTTTGATTACTGTAGAGGGTCATTCCATGCAAATTATCTTCTGTTCCCATTAAGGTGTAGACCACCCAGGTCTGGGACCTGGGTTAAATGTAAATTCCAATTGTTGGTACATGCCTTGGTGCCCCCGGACGTGATCTCCCCACAAAGTGGTGCCCCCGGACGCGATCACCTTACAGAAACATTAATCAAAATTCTTTCTATCCATTAAAACACACTCAAAATGGTTTCAAGCTGACCATATCTGTGATTAAATATCCGCAGGATGTGCAGACCTCTGCAAAGTGCTTAACGCTGGAATACTACAAAACAAGGAAGCATTAAAAGCACAATCTTCTAAATTTAATTTAAGAAATAATTAACAAACAAGACGAGACCACAGACCAAATAATCCTCCTCACAGAACACCTGTCCTGAAAAGTCATAAAACGGCTTTCCATTCAGTTTCTGGCCTGCGTCAAAGAGATGAGAAAACATCCACTTGATAGTTTATTGACACGTAAAATCTGCATGTTGTGAAGCACTACATACACTCTTAAAAATAAAGGTGCTTCACGATGCCATAGAAGAAACTTTTTGTCTAAATGGTTCCATAAAGAACCTTTAACATCTGAAGAACCTTTCTATTTCACAAAAGGTTCTTTTAGGCGAAAGAAGGTTCTTCAGATTATAAAAAGGTAAGAAAGAGATGGTTCTTTAAAGGGGTCATATGATGCTGCTAAAAAGAACATTATTTTGTGTATTTGGTGTAATGAAATGTGTCTATGTGGTTTAAAGTTAAAAAAACATTATTTTCCACATACTGTACATTATTGTTTCTCCTCCTCCTCCGCCTTTTAGAAACGCGTCGATTTTTACAAAGCTCATCGGTCCGAAAAAGCGAGGTGTGCTGTGATTGGCCAGCTATCCAGTGCGTTGTGATTGGCCGAATACCTCAAGCGTGTGACGTCATCCTCCTGGAACTGCTTCTGTTTACAACAGTGAGCGCAAGCTACATTAAAGTGATTATTACATTTTGAATATGGATATTTTTCTTACAAAAACACATCGATTCGCTACAGAAAGCCTTTGTTCACCCCCCGGAGCCGTGCGAGACATTTTTTTTTATGGATGGCCGCTTTTTATTTAACTTCTTTTGGACTGAAGCATGCAACACCCGCTGAGTGGCATTAAACAGCTTGAAAGATCAAAGACCATTTTTAATATAACTCCGACTGGATTCGTCTGAAAGAAGAAAGTCATATACACCTAGGATGACTTGAGGGTGAGTAATTTATGAGCTAATTTTCATTTTTGGGTGAACTAACCCTTTAATGCAATTTTATGCAAATGCAAAATTATTGCATTAATGCAAGAAACTTTGCCCCCCAAAAATGTTGCTTTCGCTCGCAAAACATTTGCATTCTTTTGCAAAGCTATTGAGATGATAAACTGATAAACTTTGCATTCACTCGCAAAAGTTTTGCGTTCCCCCAAGAAACATTTGCGTTTCTTTACTATGAAGTTTCTTGGGGGAATGCAAAAGCATTGCAATATACTTTTTTCCTCTCACTTGTTTTTATCATTACCATGTCATTTTAGGGGCTCTGTAATATGTAAAGTGTAAACATACACAATGTAAAATAAAAAAGTGCCATGATGCACTGATGTGTTTTGTGTGTATATACTCATGTCATCAGCCCTGTCTAATATTCCCATGCATCTGAACTGATACATGAGCTGTAGTACCGCAGGCATAGCAGGTGAAGCAGCTGTCATGGTACACTTGTCCCATGGCTTGGCAGGCCTGATCAGCACCGTAAACGTCTCTGGTGCACTTTGTGCACGTACCTGCAGACGGCAGACAACACACAGAAGATTCTGCTTTTCACTGATAATCAACGCAGGGGTGTAAATTACTTTCAGAATTAAAAAAGACCATGGTATATGAATTTTAGTAACATAATGTATATCAAAGTGCCATATTTCAAGCCATTAAACAAAAAGTGATTGAAAAGGTTCTGTATCAGATTTAAACTCTCTGATTCTTTAGTTCATCTGACTGGTTATAAAGAAATTAAATATTTATTCAGTACTTATTCAATAAAATTCTTATTTATCTATTTATTTAATTAAGTACTTACACTAAAGGAAATGTTTGGTTAAATAAATAATAAAGTATACTTGTGTAAACATATCTTAACTTTAACAGAATATCTAGTTTACACCCCTGAACAAAGTGACAAAAGCACTGAAGTCTGCCTATTTAACTAATCGAACTGCATTAAATTATAAAGACTTTTTCCATATGCTTTATAAGAGACATTACAGCAAATGTAAACATGCAAACATCTCATATTCTATCATAAACAATTGTTCAGCTTGATAAACTGAACTGTAAACATTATGCACATGCAAACATTTTCCCATCATCCCACATTTAGATTCATGGCATGAATATTACCAAAGCATAGAGAATCTGTGTCCATTTTCTTTGTGTCCCAGACAGGGATAGTAAAGTGTCACTGATGTCCAGCTCCTGCAGACAGACTCTGTCTCCGGCTGTAAGTGGAGAACATACTGTGAATTCTCCAGTGTGTGAGGGTGTGTTTATATGTGCTTTAGCATACGTGTGAGAGAGGAGACACTGTGAAGGCCATTGATGGATATATATGATATATATATATATATCACTAACAGCTGTGTATCATGGACCTGCTGAGATATTACATGGGACTGATGACATCAGTCTAGTTCACATGAGTTACTGCAGTAACTGCAAGTAAAATAAATAAAGAAATAAATAATATATACGTATATATACTCTTATGACACATTTTGTTAATTATTTCAACAACTGAATATGTATAAGTCTCAACTATATATATCATAAAAATATTATAAATAATTAGTATCATTAGTTTATTAGTTTTATCTTAAAACTAAAGACACATTTTGCAAAACTACAAGCACAAAAATACAACTTTTAAGGCATAATCAAACTCTTTTGAGACAACAATAACAACAACAAAAGACTGATTTCGATTTAGTTGGAAAAATAACATTAAAATATTTCCACTGGGTTCAAACTCCATGATGCACATATACTGACATGACTTGAATGACATGACTTAATTAATAATGATTATATATATACAAAATGTGCAATAACACTTACCCAATATGTTGTCTTTTGCATTTTGTCTCTGGTTTCAATCAGGCCAGAAAATCTGCATCACAACATCCATTGCCTGAAGTTGAATTTCTCATTCCCACAGGTTTCTGCTGATTGATTGAGTGCTGGCTATTGAATGCAGTTTTGTCTATGGTGCAAAACAGGGTTTAACAGATTGTGAATTAATTATTTATGCTTTTCAGAAACATGTCTTCCTTTTGGAAAATGACATAATGGCGCTGAGTGTTTTGCTTGTAGAAAAGATTTTAACGTGTGAGAAACTGTCATTTAAAGGCTCCTCAAAATCTGTAACCACAGGGCTAATTTATGAGACAATAGCCCATTAATGGGACGATTTTCTATTTGAATGCTTTGATGATCAATCATAGATGACATTCTATACACTATTTAAAAGAAATGCATTTCAATAATTCATTTCCCACAGTCACATGGTTTTAATGGTATGTAAATGGAGATGTATGAGATCAGAAAGGGCAAAACAAAACAAGAAATATTATGAAAGTGTTGTCTCTTGTGATACCTGTTGGATGGGTTATAATCTAGATATCTGTTCGTGCTTGGTGACTTTTGCTTTATTAAAGTGCTGTATATGCCTCCGGGCTGTTGACATTGAAAAACTGGAATGCTGTTGTCTGCAGGCTCATTATTTGAAGTGAAGTGACGTGACATGTGGCCAAGTATGGTGACCCATACTTGGAATTAGTGCTCTGCATTTATCCCATCCAAAGTGCACACACACAGCAGTGAACACACACCGTGAACACACACCTCTGTTGACATTGAAAAACTGGAATGCTGTTGTCTGCAGGCAAGTGTGGACTCATTATTTGAAGTGAAGTGACGTGACATGTGGCCAAGTATGGTGACCCATACTTGGAATTAGTGCTCTGCATTTATCCCATCCAAAGTGCACACACACAGCAGTGAACACACACACACCGTGAACACACACCCGGAGCAGTGGGCAGCCATTTTTTTGCTGCGGCGCCCGGGGAGCAGTTGGGGGTTCGGTGCCTTGCTCAAGGGCACCTCAGTCGTGGTATTGAAGGTGGGAGAGAGTGCTGTACATTCACTCCCTCCACCTACAATCCCTGCCGGTACGAGACTCGAACCCGCAACCTTTGGGTTATGAGTCTGACTCTCTAACCATTAGGCCACGACATCCCCATTTGAAAGCAAGATAGTGAGAAAAAATTTATTTTACACGTTTTCCTGGAGATATTTACACAATATAATGCATTTCATTATTAATAATAATTGCATTAAAATTATTATCAATAAATATTACAATATTTGTAAAAACGATATTGTGCAGACACACAATTATAATCTTTTCAGAAAAAAAAAAACACGTTTTCAATACAACACAAAACAAAAGGGAGTTTAAAACAGTTAAAAAAAATTATAATTAAAATAATGCAACCTTACTTAAAGTTTAGTTTAACAACAGTCAAACGACAACTTCTGTTCATAAACACAAATTAAATCTGGGCGAAATTACACATCCTACCTCAGTGAAGGAATGCATCATGAATATTAATTAGTTGTGATGACGTTCTCTCGATAACCTTCCAATAGAGGACCTCTTGGCTCTTGAATATTACGCATTGTCCTCATGCAGGGCTGAATCAATCCTGACTGAGGAAAACAAAAAAAATCATGTTAGTTTATCTTGTAAACGTGAACTATCACAGACGTTAAATCGGCAGGATTTTGTGTCTGAAAAACTGAACGAAGTGTTAATCTGTTGTTTCCTGATTTGTGCGTAATTTTAAGGTTAAGTCTTTTGGATCTATCAGAATCGCTTCGCTTAATGTAAGTTAAACTGTTTTTTGAATAATGCAATCGCACTTTTCCAGATCCTGAACGCAAGTTTGGACAGGTAGCTTGCGCGCGCACTCGCCCTTCTCTGAGCACAACAGGTATCAGAACCAGGAAGCGCCTGTGTAGCGTCAGACAAACTCAATCCACCATGCACGATCCAAGGATTTAAATCAAATAACGATTTTTAAAACGCACACATATTATTTTGGAAAGTTCAGGAACCTCTGAAGGAGAACGATGGGCTCTTGTGTGTTTCCAGTGTTCATTGGATTGATTTTACTACAGATTCCGAAAATCTCAGGTGAGTACAAAGAAGCACCACCCCAAACACGTTTTTAACATCCTCGCTACTGACATTTGCAGATTCCGAAAATCTCAGGTGAGTCTACAAAGAAGCACCACCCCAAACACGTTTTTAACATCCTCGCTACTGACATTTATTAATCGTTTATGAAGGTTTAATGTTCCGAGCAATCGAAATCTATAAAATATGTTTATATATTTGACATTAAAAGCTTAAAAAGTGAGCAGGTATAATGATTTGACAGTTTGAGCTACTGTGAGAGTTTGTCGTTTTAAAGTCTATTGCGTTTTTATATCGAGACATTCCATTTCATTGAACCAGGGAAATGCATGATGGGTATTTATAACAAGTTGTTTATACTAATGCATATAAATGAGTAATATTTATATAGTTCTTCCCAACAGATCTGAATCTGGCCTCCCTCGTGGCCTAGTATAAAAATGAGCACTGTCATTTGCATTTCTGACAGATGCTGTGAAAAACAACTTGTTAATTATTGACTAGCAATCTGTTACTGTACAAATGGAGGGCGGTTTGCTGTAACGTGCTCTTGGGCAAGGAGGGAAAAACATAAGACTTTCACTGTTTTCTCTATAGTGAAATGCATGTCTGAGAATGTCAACGGTTGTTTGCTTTTCTATTGACATTTCAGCTTTAGGGTCAATGGACTTTCATTTTCACAGCTTTGAAAGTGACCTTCAAAGTGTTGCTGATGTATTGACGGTCAAAGCTGTGATTTTAAATGATTAAAATGAGCCAAGTGTGTGATTTGTTCATTTTTCCTGTGCAGATATAGGAGAGAATTACACATTTTCATGAAGTTATAAATTCCGGAGCATTCTGGAGAGTGTCTAGTTTAATGGGTTATTTGAAAGTTTTGGTAACAGATTTTGCCTGTTCTAAAATGTTTCCTAAACATATTATGCATTTTATTTTAGTAATTAGATTAAAAGTGTCATATGATGAAGTTGTGTTTATTCAATGCCACACAGATGGCTAAACCTGAAAATGTACATCAAAACTTTAACAGTTAAGTTAAACAAGTAACTTGGTTAAAGGAATAGTTTCCCCATTTGCTCAAAATGTACTTAGTCTCAGCCATCCAAGATGTAGGTGAGTTTTCCTTCATTGTAACAGATTTGGAGAAATGTAGCATTACATCACTTGCTCGTGAATGGGTGCCGTCAGAATGAGAGTCCAGACAGCCGATAAAAACATCACAATAATCCACACAACTCCAGTCATCATTTAATGTTTTGCAAAGTGAAAAACAAATCGATCATTAAGACATTTTTAACTTTAAACCATTGCATCTGGCCAAAATATGAGTCATCTATCCATATTATTGCTTTAGCCAATGGAAACGTAATCTTGTCCGAATCAGGAGAGAAATATGCACCGTTTACAGTTCCAAACAAATATGTCAGTGGATTTTGATGTGAGAGGACAACAGGAGATGGACTTTTTCCACTGGAGAAAGTATTATTATGGATTATGGACTGAAGTGATGGTTTGAAGTTAAAACGCCTTAATGATGGATTTGCTTCTTACAAACAAGCAGCTTTGTTTGCTTCACAAGATGTTAACTGATGGTCTGGATTGATGGATTTAGTTTCACCTGGTTCAGGCTAGAGGCTGGAGACGGAGGTGTGTGTTTACTGATTGTTGTTGTCACAAACATGAGTAAATATTGGCGGATGTTGTAGCCATTCTTATGGGGTAATATGAGACAGTGGATGTTTCTCTTCTGCGTGGTTGCTTCTGTCTTGTTGAAAGTTAGATTTGTGCAATCGAAATAATGTCTAAACTCGTGAGCATCTTCTGATCAAGTAAGGTTAGAGATCTTGATGCATTTGACCAGTGTTTGTTGTTCAGTTATATTTGACATTTAACAGAGTTTGTTGATTTTTGAGGTTACCATTATGCTGAAGTGTAGACCTTGTGGTTAGGCTATGGGTGCATGAGCTAAAATGATGTTGTTCTCGATAAGCAGTAACTCTGCTAATGCCAGTGATGAGAACACTTTTACTCGATCATTACTTGCACGCTACTAAAGTTATCCTTTGAATGTGAGCAAGTGTTATGTTGGCTATTAGTTCTTATAAGAATAAATCAAATGAAATGGCTTGATGGCAAGCACATGATTTATATTGACTCTTTATGGTCATCATTTCTACCCTTCACAATCAAACGATCGTGGAACATTTATGTGTGTGTATGACAGCTACTGACAACCTAAGCACAAGCTCCCCTCTTCGTCACAATGGTATGCAAAAAAAAAATAAAAAATTTTATATTCTATAAACTCTTTTAAATGTTCAAAATAATTAAACACTTAAACTCTAACAGGTCTTTCCATTCTCATGAAAATGCAGAAAACTCACACAACAGCAACAGCACTGGTTGGATCAACAAGAGTGAATTATGTTCAGGGAACATTCACAGAATATGTCAAATTCAATTGGTGTGATCTCATTAAATTAGCATGAATTTTACTCATCAGGACAATTAACCTAATTTACATTAAAATAAATCAGTTCAACTGTGTGGAAATATGTGGCATAATATTAAGTTAGACCAACAAGCTTTTTTTTTGAGTGGAGCTACATTCTATCATGCGCCAAACCTTCTGCAATGTCAGCATTTCTCAGAGTTATTATGGGCAAGGTGCTCTTTTTTTTCTTAATGTAATCAGGGAGGATCCCAGAATGCTTGACATGTGTAGTGAATTGTGCGGATATGTTCGCTCATGGACTCTTACTGTTCCAGCTTTTACTTTGTGTGAATCAGTTCTTTGTGTTTGTTTTTTTCTGTTTGGTTTCATGTGGGTTACAGCTCTCTGCTTCATCCAAGCTGTTCCTTTGGCTCTTTATTGATTGTTTCGTAGGGCAAGTCTGTGTCCAAGAAGTTAAATGCTTGATTGTAAATTTTATTGCATAATTTTTCTAATAGAATAAGTCCAAATAAAGGCCTGTTCATAAAAAGCAAAAATAATATGAATCCAATAAACAAAAAGTCAATCTAAATGAGGAAGAGAGAGAAAAACAACAACAAGAAAACAAATGGAAGGTCCTTTCAAGGCAATAGCAAAAAAAAAAAAATTGAATTAAAAATAAAATATATATAAAAATAAATTATATTATTTGTAGATTTCATTTTTAATTTAAATTGTTGTAGCATTTTATTATACTTAATATATATTTAATGCATTTAAATAACGTTTTAATTTTATTAATTTAAGCATTTATTATAATTTATAGAATTTATTACAATATAGCACACTTATTGATAACAAAATTTCTATTCTGAAGCACAGTATAAAAAACTTAAATGAGATATTTGAAGAAGAACTCTGTTCAAAATTAAAGAACACTTTCAGATACCTCCCAGTTATTGGTGTTAATCTGACACCTGGTGATAATTATCAGACTAACCCTATTTAACTGGCAGCCTAACTTTCCAGTTTTCACTGACTTTGCAAGATGGTGAGCCGTTCTAAAGTTATTGAAACCCTCTGACAGCAGGTTGTCCAGATGAAGGCCAAGGGATGAATGACCCTTTCACCCACTGCAAGAGAAGTTGGTCGTTCCAAATTTGTGATTTCTAGAATATTGCATCTTTACAATGTCACTAACTCATTCAAGTCCCCCAAAAAGGCTGGTCGTCCACTAAAGACAAATGCACGAGAGGACAGGATAATGTGGAGACTCTAGATGGGGAATCGGTTCAACACTGCAGCTGGAATTGCTCACCAGTTCAGCGCTGAACAGGGTAAAGACCTGTCTCGGCATACAGTGTCTCAACGTTTAAGAGAATTTGGACTGAAAGCGCACTCTGCAGTGACCATGCCTCTCATCAGCAGAAAGAATCAAAAGGCTAGACTAACCTTTGCTGAGGAGCATGTTGTGTGGAGAGAGGAGAACTGGTTCAAATTGAATGCAAATGTTTATCAGAACCTCCTGCGGCAACATACGGTTCCTTCCCTGTTTTCATCGGCCAATCAGCCAGCAATTTTCATGCAAGACAATGCCCCCT